GCTTTGCTTTGGGGCTGAGGCTAGAGTAGGCCTTTTGGTTTTCCGTGCTCGATTGTTCTGCAGCATCTTCATGGGTGTTACTTCACTTTAGAGACCTGTCTTTTGCTTGACTGAAAAGTTTGAAGATGTCTACGGGTCAGTGTCTTAGTGGTTATAGACTAGTAGAACTACTGATAAGTAAAACCTTAATGTTTTATTTACATGGACCGAGTTCTCTTCCCACATTTTTCTCCCATTCCGTTCAGTGTGATCCCTGTCAGAGTCGTTGGTCGTGATACGAAACTCACTGTCACGGAGAGCTTCTGACTCAGAGCAACTCTATAGGACAGGGTCGATCTGTGCCTGGGGCCTTCGGAGGCTGTACCCCCACGGAGTACAAAGCCTCATCTTTCTCCTGCCAGTAGTGATAGCTGTGTCCTGTTGAGTTCTTCTGGGCCCAGGATCAAGGGGACTAAGATACCTGTGGTCCATTAGGCCTTTCAACTAATTGTTTCCATGTGTCTTTGTTTTTTCTCTCCTTTGTGTGTTCTCGGTGGTGAGAAAACATTATTGCGTTGTAGATGGCCACTGGCAAACTATTAAAACCCTAGTCATTGCTCATCGAAGAAAGTTGTAGAACATTGTCTGTAAGGACTGCTATGCCAGTTGACCTTGGTGTCCCCCAAGACGATGTGGTTCTAAGCCACAACTCCAGTGACTCGATTCCTCAAAGTGTTTAGTTATGGCTATGAAGATTTCATACCTTTACTCCTTGTATGCTCAACTGTATACGTGGATATATTTACAGCACATACCAATACATCTGTAGAACTAACCTCCGGCAAACCTGTATACTCACGGGTATATTCTACACTCCATCCATGCCTGTTCATCTTAAATAGCTCTCTGTGTATCCACTCATGAAGCATTTTCTGTCAGTATTGCATTGTTGCCTCTCACTCTTAGGTAGCTTCCAGCGCCTTCCTGTGTCTTGCTTGTGTCATGCTGACCTCGGCCTTATTGCATAGTGCCTTCCACTTTACCCCACGAATCCACATCTACTCCGGAGCACAGAGGTGGCCTGATAAACGACTAGGTCAGCCATTTGAAACAAGCAGCCACTCTGTAGGAGAAAGACGCAGCTCTCTGCTCCCATGAGAGTTACACTCTCAGACACTCTCAAGGGCAGTTCTTCTTGCCCTATGGGGTCGTTGTGAATCCGAATCAACTCCATGGCAGTAGCTTTTTGTGTGTTTTTGGCTCTAGTTCAGCGGTTCTCAATCTGTGGATCGTGACCCCTTTGGGGGATGGATGACCCTTTCACAGGGATCACTCAATTCATAACAGTAGCAAAATTACAGTGATGAAGTAGCAACAAAATAATTTTAAGGTTGGGGAGTCAGCACAGCATGAGGAACTATATTAAAGGCTTGTGGCATTAGGAAGGTTGAGAACCACTGCTCTAGTTAGTGATTTTTTTTCCCTCCCTCTCATTCTTATCCTTTATAACCATCACACACAAAAAATGCCCACTCCCCCCAGAAGAATTTCAGAGGACAGCACTGAATCTGCAGGTGTGGGAGAAGGACATGTCTGATCAGAGCACACAGGAACAAATGAAGGGGGAGGAAGAGAGAGTGGAGCACATCCTGGCCCACCAAGCCTTGATGAAGAGATTCCTGCTCATAGCAGCCAATTCACAGAGAAAACCTTATGGCCGGCCCCACTATGAGACATGACATCCCTCATTGACTCATAGCCCTACAGGGGACAACACGGGAGACACTGTGGGAATTTCACCCAATCTGGTCCCACTACACCAAGGCAAAACACTAAGGGCGTGGAACAGAACAGCAAGGGGAA